GCCTAGATCCAGGAATTTGCTCAGCTTTTTTTTCTGTAAAGGTCGGCACTTTGACAGCAAAGGAAGAGGGTTTGTTTTCCTTCTGGCATCAGGGATGCTTGAGAACCGGCTTGCACCCCAAGAAGTCTCAGGGTCAAGGACACAGGCACAACCACAAAGCTCCTCTCCTTCCAGTTTGACTGGATGTCATTCAGAGGAGACTGATGCAATGATGCTGCAGAGCAGGAAACATGCAAAGCAATTATCTTTTTAGTAGGTCACTGGCCTCCTTTGGGAGAAGAGACCAGAGGGAGAGCGGGGAAGGCGGGCAGCCGGGTCTCCCCCAGAGGCTGCGTGTGCAGTAGCAGCGCTGGTGATTAATAGCCGTGTCACTTTCCATGAATGTTGCTTTAAGCAGCCATGTTCGAAATTGAGTGGGAATGAAATAAAACAACCCAAAATAAATGTTTCCTCTATTCCTTACACATTGCTGGAGTCCAGAAATAGCTCCTCAAATCTATAATTTTAAATGGCATCATTCACAGCATTTTCAGTCTCAGCTTATTTTCATATGGCTATTGTGTGCACATGCATCACTTTTTGTTTTTAAAAACCATGAAAAATTTCAGCTTAGTGACTTTGGGGTTTTTTCACCACTGAAATAAAAATTGTGTTTACAGAGAAAAATATAGCCTTCACATGTGTTTTTAAAGAAAAATAGTAACTTAGAGGAGAAAAGGACAGGAAGAATATTGTGTCCATATAGATCATAAACGGGAACAGTAAAAACGTCTGGCAGGCGCTAATTGCTGGCCAGCTGCAGAGATTGCAGCCTGCGAGCTGTGTTCAGGGCAATGTGCCAGGCTGCTGGCAACCAGAGGGTGGGCCTGCACCATAAGGGCCCCATGTGGTCTCTGGGGCCTGAGAGCATAAACGGGAGGGTGACCACAGAGTGGTGACCACAGAGGGGCCGTGCAGGCTTCCTGCACCAGCTAGGCCTCTCGGAGTATACTGTCTGACCACTTCTCCCTGCTGCCTTTTAGGGACTGTGGTGACAGTCACAGGAGTCACCTCTGGCTGCATCTCTGGCCCAGTGAAGGGTCATTGGCTTATAGAGCCATGTTTTCCCCTGTGGAAGCCAGAGAACATCTAAAGGGTGGGTGGCTGGAGGGGAAGGAGCAGGCAGCAGGGACCTCACGGTTTAGGGCTTTAGAGACTGTCAGAGTCTTGGGCGAAAGAAGGGGGTTGGAAGAGTGTGGGTGTTGCCTGCCTTCTGTCCACTCATTTGTTTCCTTCTAGTCTCTACTGATAATCCCTCCCATCCACCCCCCAAATAAAAAGTGGTGGAATGGGGTCTTGGACATAAGGGCAAGGTGGGTCTCTCATCTCATTTGCTTCGAGCAGGCCTCTCTGACAGAACATCTGCAGTAACCAGACATTCCAGGGAGAAGGGGAGGGGGTGGGTGAAGGAGTTGGTGTGTTGCTGCCGGAGGCGGCAGAATATTCAGTCTGTAAACGTCCCTCAGTCTTTCCTGAGCACCCACACCTGCCTGAGCTGGCACATCTGAAGACGGAACAGGCTTGCCTTCAGCAAGCTGAATCTGGCCTTGGGCACTATTTTTATAACAGTGGCTTTCCCATTGTTCAGTTACACTGAGGCCCACAGACAGGGAAATGAAGGCCACTGGAGAGACAGCTTGTTGCTCACGGTTCCCAAATGAAGCGGGCATGCTGTGCCATGGGGGGCGACAGGGGAAAGAACCAGGGGTGGCCAGGAGCCAGAGGGGGTTGCGTGGGAAACACAGACTCCATCCTTCATTGTGGCTTCCATGAGAAGGAATTGGCGAGACAAGGTCAGCAGGGCTAGTAGGTTTGGGATCAGCAGGCTAGGCTAGTTTGCTTAATTGCAGAAAGTTCTGGAGCATAGGGACAGCCCCTGCTGTGTGGTTCTTCACCCTGGGGAGGTTAGGGCAGGGGATTGTGGCCTAGTAAGAGTTCTGTAAGGGCAGTGGTGGGGGCGTGGGCTGTGGATGGGTTGGTTTGATATGGAAGGTGAGCTCACAGGGGAGTCTTTTCTCTGTCTAGGAACTGGCCGGTACCCAGGGAGGGGCAGCCCCTGTAAGTTCAGCAAGGCCCCAGATGTCAGGGCAGGAGAAACGCGTGGTTAGGACAGGTGCTCTTGGTGCTGGCACAGAAGGGGAAAGGGCTGGGTCCACAGGAGGAAAAACAAATGAAGTGCTCAGGCTTCCTGAGTCTGGTGTGGTATTTGAAGGGGGGTACCGGGGCGGGGGGCGTGGTGGGGGTTACATTCTACTGAGCCGCCAAAACTGTGGTGTGTGCCAGCTAGGTGTAGGTTGGCTGCAGGCAGAGAGCCCTGCTTTGTCAGGGGCTCAGGATGGAAAGTGTCTGAAGGGGCATAGCCAGAAAATACTCAAGGAAGGCCAGGCTCTTCTTGAATGCCAAGCTGAGCCATTTGGATTTTATTCTGTGTGAGTTGGCCAGAACTCTTTTGTCCTCTGGGGGTTCTCCTAATGAATTCCTAGACACACAGAATGCCTACGCTCGGCCATATATCATAATCACAGAACTTAATTAACAAGTTAGGATGCTGACGTAAATTTATTCCAGATGAAAAAAAAGAAATCCCCTGTGGTGGTGTGGGTTGAAAATTCAGTGCCTCCTGGGCCTGCAGGTAATGTCAGCATGTGGAGAGTGTCCCGGGACCTGCAGGGCCTGTCCTATACTAATAGGGAGTGGGTGGCTTCAGAGTTCCCTTGAATCACGTGATGGGTGGGTTCCAGAGTTGCTGGATCCTCCTAATCTTCAAGAAAGACTGGAAACTCATATTCTTTTGTGAAATCACCTGGCAATGAGGCAGTGCATGGGGCTCACACAGAGGCCCTTGCTGGTCTCTTCCGGCTGTGCACCTGCCACCGCAGGTGAAGTAGGAACCTTAGAGAGGACATGAGACAATTCAAGGTATAAGTAGGAAACAGGCACACTAGTTCAGGGGTCAGATCTGGCATCCAAAGACGGTCTCTGAGGTGCTGGGCAAGCCACTCTGCTGTGCTCCTGCTCCACCTGCACATCCATGGTGGCAAAGCTTGTTCATTCTTTCAGTCCAACAAATAAAGAGTGTCTGCTACAGAGAGGGCCAAGAGAGAGACATCAGTCCCCAAAACAGAAAATTTGATGGAGTGCTGTCTAAAATCATATTATTGCTGTAACTTTTCAGTAAAATAGAAACTAAAAGGTAGTAGGCTCTGTAGCTTTTTCCTGCTGTATCTGTGTGGGTGAATTGCTGGCAATGCACAAGGAAATGCTGTGATTGACAGAGCAGGGTGGGCAGGCATGCTCCAGGCTCTCCCGCTGCTGCCCACACCACCTGGCATGCTTCACACCAGGCTGTAGCCTGTGAGCTCAGTGGGGCGCGCCGTCTTGTCCTTGGAGGCTGCCCAGTGCCATTGTGGTTTTGGGCACAGAGCAGGTATGCAGGTGTCTCCCAGAGGAGTGAATGACATGTGGCAGTGTCTGCTTTTTAGAGCAGATATTTAGCCACAGTGACCATAAAAAAAAAGCTACTGCATAATCCTAGCATTTAAAAACGAGTGTTAAGAGAGCAGAAACAAGTGGAATTTGTAAAATGACCTGACTTTATCATGACACCATTATTAGTTCTTTTTTTTTTTTTTTTTTTGATAGGGTTGATAGTAACTCAGCAAAAGCTGAGCAGTTTCCTACAGAATATCAGGCTTCTCTTGGCGCCAGGCCCTGCGGTGGTTGAGTATGCACTGGGATGGATAGAGAGCACAGACAGAGGGCAGGACGGGGTCGTGCCCCTGGACAGCCACCTGTGGGGTGGTTATGTGCCCACAGGCAAGTCTGGCATAGAGAGATGCCTGTGCTCACGGTGCTGCCCAGTGCTCCATGTGTGCGCGCTGTATTCTGTGTCCTCCCATGCCAGGCCAGGGTGTGAATTCTAGATGCCTTCTACACTAAAAAGATCATGATGTCCTTGAAAAAAGGACACTTACAGATAATACTAGAGTGTAAAATTATACTTAAGAAAGTATCTCTCAGATATGAAATTTGAAAGCATTTACTGTTGCCCTTCTTTGCTTGCGCAGTCGACGTGGCCTCATTCCACTGCTGTCTGATGTGCAGGTTTGCCCTGCCTGTGCGTCCCCACGTGTGCGTGCCCATGTATGTGTGTGCACGTGTGTAAGTGCACAGGAGCATGTGTGTCTGTGTGAAATGTTCTTTGAAAATCAGCATTAAGGGCAGAGCTATGGGACAGTCCCTGGTTGGAAAGCAGGAGTCTACGTGGGCAGCGCTGGCAGGGGCCTGGCTCTTTGTAGCCTGCCGCCACGGGGTGCTGTGAGGTGACCCTGGCGGTGCCTTGGGCACAGGCCCATGCCAGTTTATAAATTGCTCCAACGAGGGCCTTGATGCCTTGACACTTATTGCGCCTTGTTGCTGCAGCTGTACAGAGGGCACAGGAGCTAAGGTAGGATGTAGAAACACCTTTTCCTGTGGAGCTGCAGGGGGGGCTTAGGTGGGCTGAAAGTAATGACCCGCCTGTGAGTCTGACAGGAGGCCCGGGGTTGGCATCGCCTCCTTGTTGAGACTGTCCTTTTGAAATATGTGCTAAGATATTGCTCCTGTCCTATTAATTATGTCACAAACGTAGTAAAGCTGGTAATTAATGATCATGGGGTACTTGGAACTATAAAATGCCACATAAATGTTAAGGAGTAAAAATTACTCTGTGTATTAAATAGATATGCTGCTTTAAAATTATTCCATGGTGGGAAAGGTAATTTCCAGGAGAGCGAAAAAGGTCTCTGCTGGGCTCTCTTCAGAAACTGTTGCTCTCTTATTATCTCAATTGCCTACATCTTAGGAGAGTATTCTGGACTCTGAAGTATTTGAGTGACCAATGGCAGTTTGGTACGTTGGCTCTGGGAATGAAATTGCTCACTGGGGTTCAGTCAAAATTGTATCTGCTTGATTCTTCACAGCCGGAGACAGTTTGGGCCCAAAGCCAAGGAAGAGGTCAAGATCATTGAGCACCAAACACAGACTCTTCGGCTGATGCCTCACCTGGCCACAGCCTTGGCCCTGACCTTCGCCAGCAGGTGAGAGGGTTCTGTGGGTTTGCTGTCTCAAGGTGAGGGTGAGACTCTGGCATTAATGAGCGCGAGGACAGATGGGGGGAGCTTCATTTTCTGACTACAAAGGAAAGAAAGGGAAAGGAGCTTAAAATCCAGTGCTCAGGTTAAAAGTGATGTCTACAGTATCATTGTCTGTATCTACAGCTGCAGGGCATCCACAGGGGATTTGGAAAGATTCACTCAGGTCTCTCCAGAGCTCCTAAAAGAATCAGCTTTGATAAGTTAAAATTTCTCTGTCTCTGATGACTCCAGTTTACTGTAAGGTTTTCAACATGGGTAAAGTGTGTATGTTCATTTGGGCAAGTAGGGAGGTGTCAGGTTATTGAATAAAATGGCAGTAACAGTGCTTTAGATTCACATGGGACTTCACCTTCTGCAGTAGGGTTTCTTCTGTCTTGACTGCTCTTCCTCAAAGCACAAAGGGTTTGTATCAGCAGTTGGTGCAATCATGGCAGCCTAAAATTCAAGAGATGTGTGAAACCGTTTTGAGGCTAAAGGGTAGAAAATAACTTGGAATAGGCTCGATGTGCATAGGCTAAACAGGCAGAGAGCGGAGCCCAGTGCTCCCTGCAGGGAATCAAGCGGTGAAAGGCAGTCGGCCACTAGCCAGGAGACCTGCGGGAGAAAAGTGCGTGGGGTGATGATTCTGGTGCTGAAGGGCACAGGGGGTACTGGGAGCCGCCAGGGAGGAGAGGCCGCAGTCCTGCTCTCCTGCAGCTCTGTCTGCGCTGTCTTCCCTGGGCGCCTCCTCACGCGAGAGCCAGGGTGCTGCCGTGTCCGTCACTCCTCTCTGCCTGCCTCACAGGTATGCTGGGGCCCTCCTGGACCAGGACATCTTCCAGGGCAAGGAGCTCACCAACAGTCGCCCGCTGCAGGCCCTAGTGGCGGGGCTGAAGGCCTACAGCACCTGGGAGAACCTGGACTGCCTGCAGGACTGCCGCGAGTGCACGGGGGGCATGGTGAGACTGGGTGGGGGGACGGGGCAGGGGGGCACATGGGCCTGCCTCAGCCCCGCTGTC